CTCCTCCACAGATGCTGCCAGACCTGCTGAGCTTTTCCAGCAACTTTGTTTTTGTTCCTGATCTACAGCATCTGCAGTTCTTTTGGTTTTTATTTAGGAGCAATAGGGAAATTTCATTTGCTTGTATTAACATTAGCAGACAGAACAAAATCTGAGTAAAAGTCAGACTTTATGGTTATACAAAAAACAAACAAACATTTCTCCTGTACACTTACACCAAATCATTTTACTACTTTGTTTTGCTGTTATCAGTAAGTTGTAGAATACATCAGCAGAATTAAGTTATAAAACATTAATTTCACAAGTGAAAGGCTTAGAGGAAAAAGTTTAAATCAATAACAGAATTCCAGCACTTTTAGTGCAGAAATGCACTGCTCTAAATGAATTAAGAACTGAAGTTATGATCAGTTATTGCACTTTATAAGACCTTTACCACTTTTACAGTACATTCTTCTGTTTTAGGCCACTTCAAACTATACAAATTAGACTAATTTTGTGGAATCACAATCTATAAACCTTCTACCTATACAATCTATAAATAAGAGAGAGAGATTTAAGGTCAAATCAATCGAGCTTGAAATTTTCTGTTCCTTGACCATGGAAGTTGATTTAGACCAGAGGAATAGTCTTCAAGCATTTCTTGCATAAGTATAGACCCCAAACTGAATGAATCACCACATGAAATACGAGGCCATCTTAGGGGGGAAAAAAGTGCGTTTTCTAGTTTTGTTCAACTTTTTAAAAAAAAAAAAAAAAATGCTAATCACAGAACTTCATTGATGGCAGATATGGAGTCATGTCCTTTAGTGAAAGCAGCTTGCAACTGGTGACCAACAACAATGCAGACATTTTTTTGTTGGATTTACTGTATAATAGTCCATCATACTCTTTAAATGTATTTTTATGTATCATTTTCCATTCATTAAATAGATATGGCAGGGTCAAATTTTAATCTAGTATTACAAGGGTGTCAAAACCATTATTCTACCTGATCCTATAGGTTTCCTGTCCGGCAAGTCTCTTTGACATTTGCCTTCATTCATCATTTCTATTCATCTGTTTTGTACTGAAAACAGCATCTTATTCTTCAAGTTCTCAAAAAAATATACACCTTAATTTTATTCCCATTGTTCCAGAGGTGGCAGTCAGTTCAGAATTAAATGGAATATATTGGAAAATGCAAACACTACCAAGTGGCAGTTAGCAACTAACAGGGTTGAGAAACTACATTCTTTAATACTTCGTTGCAGAGCTATTGTTTGGTATCTTGCAAATAGTGTGGCTGGTTGTGTTATGATAGATTTCTAGTCATAAATACACCTATTCCCATACATTCCTTTCTTTAAACACTCATCTGAATGTATAAAAGATTAAATTTAACATGTTATAAACACAAATGGGCAAGAATACAGTCAAATAGTAGCTGTTGTGCAAGGTTGCTAAAACATTTTAACAGTAGTGTAATCTCACTATACATAATTAATTGCACAGATGTTACAACTCATTGTGCCTGTTTAGATACAAGAATATTTACCTATATAAGCATTATATTTAACAGTTTTAAGTGTTGAGTTTGGAGGAAAATGAAAAACTGGATCTCAAAATGATAGGAGATGACTTTCCTAGTTTTACCTTTGTCCCATCTACTCTGTAGAAATAAGTGTCTTGTGGTTTTTAAGAGCTAGAATTAGTTTTATCATTCCAAAAAGTAGTATTTAAAAAGTTAGCCCAGCAGAGTCCTAGATCCCCCATCGCTGACCACCCCATCATGAATTGATAAAGTTTCAATTATTAAATCTTTTGAATATGGCTGTGTAATTTAAATAAAATTGATGGGTTGACAGGCTATGAACAGTTGCCTGATGTCAGGTTTTAATTGCCCCATATTAAGAAGGCTTTCTGAAAATGTAAACCTGACATCATTTCTGGTTAGTTGCTGAGTTTAAAATTGTTTGCAATGAACTTTTGTTAAAATCTGTATTCAGAACAATCTATGGTGTTCTACTAAAAATCAGTTTTACAGTAGTCTTTGCATATTACTGAAGCTTTCAATGCTAGTTTTATCCTGGCCATTAATGTAACAGTTACACATATTGCAAATCACCATAGCTACAGTCTTTAATAAACACAATTTAAAGTTAAAGTACTTAGTGGATCCAATCTTCAAATTCCCATCAGAAATATAGGGATAATTTAATTGCAGTTTTTCTATTTACCTGTGACTGCAATTTGTTGGCCAGACAAGAAAAAAGTATTCATGCTAGGTGGCGGAATTATTTTTCTTTCATGGTTGGATTATGTTGAGCATTTCAGTCATCCTATCACTTGCCCTGATGAAAACATGAGACATTCTTTTCATTTATTATCTTTCATGACTTAGCGATGACCGTAAGTGTTTTACAGCCATGAATCACTCCTGAAGTGTGTTTTCTGGGCAGGCAAGGCAGCTAATTTGTACCCGGTAAAGTTCCAGTGATGAACAACCAGCTAATCAATTTTAAATGGTGTTGGTAAATCCGTAATGCTATTGGAACTACTGCTTTAGGTTTCCCACAAAGTATAGAAAAACAGGAGCTTTCCATGTCATTTAAGAATATGTTATACAATTAACCCCAGCAGGACAGTCCAGAGTTGCTTTGAGGTGTCACAAAACAGGCAAATCTGCATCGCCTTCAGAATTACTCAAACAGTTTCTAGGCACCAAGAAAGTGAAACCCTTTAACACAGATACTAATGATATTTTAGAGATTTGACAGGACACTGTTTGAAAAATTTAGGAACACATACATCAGCTAAGCATAGTGCTTAGAATGGCAGATGCTGTAAGTATTTGTATAAGTTTCCATAATGGTATTCACACTACCTATATTTGCAAACTTCAGTTCAACTTTGCTGATGGGCAACAAAAATATTTTAGTAACAGAACTCTAAGCATTTTCTTCAGTTTAGTGTTAAACCAAACTTCTCTAACAGCCTAAATATCTTCAGTAAATTCCTGCTGCATATTTAAAATATCACTAGGTTTATAATGCTGTTTAACAAACTTTGCAATACTATCTGTATGAGTAAAGAGGAGTCAAGTTTTGACAAATCTATCCACTTGAATGGTGAAACACTCAACAGTACATATTTTACCGTGTTTGGGAAGACGAGAGTACCTTTAGCTGCTTAATACCAGGTGAAGACCTTGTTCTTACAGCTTTGTCAAGGGTGTTTATAGTAAATAAGCAATACTAATTGTTCAATATTGAACCATACTGCTTAATTGTGATCCTTGCTATAGAATATTTGTAGCAACACTCAAATATGTTTTCTCATGACAACACTGCATTGTACACATATTATACATCCTTTGCTAGATTATGGGCGACTGTGAATTACTATTGTGACCTCCATTAAACAGGAAGTCTTTACTTCTCCCACATAAGCTCCATTATGAAAAGTTACAAATTACAGCATTGTCTCCATAATATTGTAGAACTAAGGAATTGAGCTGCATCTCTTCATTTTAGTCACATTTTGAGTATTAAGCAAACACTTTAGTTATTTTAGTTAGATAGTCTTTTCTAGCTCAGTGCGTACTGTGCTAGATTTCACTTAATTTTACACTGGCAGATCACAGACAGTAGATAGGACTAAAACTCTAAACTAAGATTCCACAAATAGTCATGACATGTTCACTATGGTCTGATTGATCATCTAGGGAATAAAACCCATATTTAGTGTGGAAGCAGAAAGTATAGGCAGTAGTGGTCCAGCCATCTCAAAGCAAAATAAATGTAAAGTGGTGGCTAGGAAATATGTTGAAAAGTATCTAGGGCTCATACAAATGCCAGTTTCAAAAATGGAGCCATCATTGTTCCTGGGTCTGAGTTCAACCTTTGGATTAGATACACATGGGGATGGTACAACTGTTATACTTAACGTTCAGTCACAGTGGAGCAACAATCCTTGAATACCAATTTGAACAATAGGGTACATCTGATGAAGCTGTGGTGGCAATTGAATGTGCTCTAGTCCTCAGAGTATCACGGACAGTTGGTCCTCAAAGTCAAAAAGATGTATTCAAACGCCATGTGTGTGCACGTACGTGTGTGTGTGTGTGTGTGTGTGTGGGTGTGGCGGGGGGGGGTGGTAAGAGAAACAAATGCAGATTGTAGCTGTAAGGCCTATAATAGATGAGAACTGAGGGAAGAACAAATGGGGACTTCAAACCTGAAGAAAAATCAATGGAGACAAGTCCTTCCAGGAAGTAGGAACAATACTAATTAGTACAGAAAAGGCAAATCTGAAAAAAAAACTACTACATTAAGAGAATATGGCACAGGCTCAAGATGACAAACGGCAAATTTAAGGCTGATTTGTTACTTGGAACAGATGTTCCAGAAAAGTGCAGATGTAAATTTTAAGGTCCTTTCCTGTGGAAAATAGCAATCCCCATCTTACTAACCTTGCAGTGTTTGTGCATATTAAGACTTTAAATTTACAGATACATATCTCAGCTGTGAGATCAACAACAGACAAGTTCTATTTTAATTGCTCTATATTTTAGATTTGCATTTTGGCCCAAACACTTTTTTTTGTGTTCATTGTCTCATTTTATGTACACCTTTAAAGTTGATGAAAGTATTGTCACCAGTAGCAGCCTGTTACATTTTAAGCATCATGCCATGTAACCACTAAAGCAAATCACTTCAATAAGTAACAGAAATGAAACTGGCAAAATATTTGAGAGGAGAACAAGCGCTGACTTCCAATACCTCTGTTCCATACATAAGTGCACATATGCCCATATCTTTAAACTGAGTTCGTAAACTACAGTAAAGGTAAAGGAATATAAATTATTATACAATTGCACAATAATTGCTTAATCTTTGAAGTGCTGCAGTGGATTGAAGTGCTGTTTCTGTTGGGTCCAGGCAATGGTCAGACTTCCTTACTGATATCTTGTAGTTTGTTACATAGATCTTATCTGACTATAATTGGGAAAAGTTGCAAGTGTACAAATTAAGAACACAGAACACACATGCACACACCAAACATTACTTTAAAAGATTATCTCAATGGCACTTTGTAACAACTAAAAAGAAAATATATACAGTACAAACCTATTAATTATGTTGATTTTTCTTCAGATCAATAAAGCTTTGGCTGATGCATTTAAAATGCACTGCATTCGATCTAATCTTTTTTAGTTTTAGGAAAAATAAAATTTGGTTGGGCTCCTACTGCAAGGTGTGCATGTTCGTGTAGCAGATTTAAAAGGAAAATCAGAAAATGAACAGAAAATGTTGGAAATATAAGCAGGCTCATCAGCGTGTATAAAAAGAATGGGTTAATTTCTTGCCTCGCAGAGGGACTGCTGGCAGTTCTATATCCAAAATGTTAACCTCAGTCAAAACTGTTAACATTTTTGGTGTGGATCTTTGTCAATGTCCTTTATCACTTTACAGATGCGAATGGGCCAGCCAATATTTTCTGTGCTTATTTTATATTTGCATCTTCTCAATTATTAAATTTAAATAGCAGAGCAAAGGAGTGAGAAATCTCAAATTCTAGAATACTAGTGAAAAAGAGTTGATGAAGCCCCATCAACTTTAAATAACTCCAGTTGGGTATAAAAAGATTTTGGAGAAAGAATGAAAGAAAAATAGTTTATAGAGGGAGCAGAGATTAGAAAATAAGAATTGTATACACATATCCATCCCTGAGAGAAGAAATGAATGGGTACAGTGAGTTGACACCTATGAATATGGCTTCCATTCCTGATGTTAAAACAAAATATGTTCTAGAATATCACTAGTTTCAAAAGCACATGCCAATAAGCTTGAGGCTTGTTCCTTCAAGATCACCAGTCATAACATGCATCCTTACAAACAAGCAAGCTCTGGATTTTTCAGATGCAAGGCTATTGATGCTCTCCACAGATATTGCCCGACCTGCATTTTTTCCAGCAGATTATGTTTTTACAATCTCCAGAGTCTTACCTCCCATATTCAATAATGAGCAATGCATCCAGATTTCCCTCCAAAACAATCGTTTCAGATATATATTAGACGTCAAAGTGAATGAATTTCTGCTTAAACTGTAGTGCACAAACATCAGGATTTTGGAAAAAATACAGCATTTTCAAACAATGAATGCACTCTAACAAAAAGTTTTTCCTATTAACAAGATCCACTGTAAATGCTGTACTCTTTCAACTGTAAGATTTTTTTTGTCCCATCATCATTCATACAAGAGCATTTCTGTAGAGATTAATTTGGATATTAGCATAAATAACATGAATGAATATAAACTATCAATAGCCATTTGTACAAAAGGTAGGATTGCTTATATAGCATTAATTTAAAATGGCATCTGTTGGTTTCAAATGCATGACTGATTAAGGACTACATTTACAACGTGTGCACTAAATAACTGGCGCCGATCTGTCATTTGTTATTGTTGGTCGGAGCTTTACTGTAGCAAAAGGATTTCCACCACTGAAATGGGAAAACAAACAAAAAAATTAAAAGATGGACATATTACTAACACAACTTAGACAATATTTCACCACAATAACAAAGGAATCCATCATGCAAACATTATTCTTGTAGTTTTACCACACAGAACATATGCTGTGGGTACAAGTGGGATCATAATACAAAACGGTGCACATTACACAAAAATTAGGAACAAAAAATGCAAAAGTCATTTTCAAAATGCAAAATTTCTGCGCACACAATGCACCTGGATCTTAGGATTGTTTCGCTCTCTCTGTATGCAATCTTGGCAATTACTTTTATGCAAATTAAAGAAATTATAGCCTTGAGAAAGGAAAACTTACTTTTGAGTTGTGTAACTCTGGGATAGACAAACAGTAAGGGGTTTAGAGATGAAACAATTCTGAAAATGTACCCAGGAGTGTTTTTAAAGCCTGCATTTTGAAAGTCCTACAAGAGGGGGACCAACAATAACACCAGTCAAGTGGTAGAGCATGTCAGTGATAGTGACCATATCTGAGTAAGATTTAAGGTAATCATGGAAGAGGACAAAGATGGACTGGAAATAAAAAGGTTCTGGCTAGGAAATGCCGATTTTAATGTGATAACATGGCCAAACTAGACTGGGAGCAGCTACTTGAAGGAAAATCTACATCAGAACAGTGGGAGTTCTTTAAAAATAAAATAGTTCAGGGCCAACACGTTCCTGTAAAGGTGAAGGATGGGGCTGACAAATCCCCAAAACCCGGAGTGTCAAGGAATGCTCAGGATTGGACAAGGTGGGAAAGGGAAGCCTATATCAGACACAGAGGACTCAAAACCTCAGACCCTAGAGGCACAAAGAAAGTTACTTAACTTGGGGTTACTTAAAAATATAATTAGAAAAGCAAAGGGTGGGGTGGGAATGTAAAAACTACTGGGTAAAATAAAGGCATGTTACAAGTTCATTAGGAGCAACAGGATAACAATGAAAAGTAGAGGCTATGGAGACCAAAGTGGCAAAACTTATGAGGAGCCAGAGGAGATGAGTGAGGTTGTGTATAAATACATCTGCATTTGCTATAAAGGAAGGACAAAGTAGGGATTGAGATCAGAGGGAAAGACTAATATATTAGAATAATTTATAAATAGTGACATTAGTAGATTTAGCAGGCTTAAAACATGGAGCCCAGATGAGATTTAGCTCAGCTGCTGTGGGAGGCAAGGGGAGATTGCAGAAGACCAGACATGAATTTTCAAATCCTCTGGACAAAGGGGAGGTGTCAGAGGACAGAAGGACTGCTAAAATGGTTGCATTATTCAAGGAGGATGATAGGGATGAACCAGGATACTATAGGCCAGTGAGTCTAACATCAACAATAGGGAAACAATTGGTTTTAAAAAAAAATGGACGGACAGAATTTGTAATGATTGGAACCCAGGTTGACCTTGTTGACTAGGAGGTCGGTGATTGGACTTGTTAATCTTGGCCAAAAAGGAAAGCCCTGGCTGACCAATATAACCAGGATATTTGAATCTCTTCAGTTTGGGTGACTGAATCTGAGCTGGCTGGCCACAGCCAGTGTACTGTGCACAAGTAAATAAAGGGTGACTTGGTGACAGGATACCAGCCTCTGTGCTGTTATTTCAGTGTTGATGAGAGAAAACAGGACATGCCTGAAGAACGTTCGCTCGCAATCTTGGAGTTGGGGTGAACATTTCTGTCATTGTGCCTTTGTTTGGGAAGTTTGATCCTGCTGAAGACTGGGTCCAGTACGTGGAAAGAATGCGATATTTTTTCTGGGCAAATAACACTGGGGCAGATGAAAAGCAACATGTAATCCTTCTGACTACTTATGGACTTGCAGCATTTTTGGTTATTAGGGGTTTAACTTTTCCAGAGGCACCAGACACTAAAACCTTCCAGGAGTCGATGAAATGATGAAGGAATATTACGACCCCAAACCTCCCCTAATTCTGAGATGCTACTGGTTTTATTCGGCTATTAGAGAACCAGGTGTATCTGTATCGGGGTTTTTGACAAGGTTGAGACTACTGGCAGAGGCATGTGATTTTGGGTTAACACTGAACGAGATGCTGAGACCCCATTTGGTATGTGGGATTAATGATGTAACCATGCAGAAGTGCCTACTAGCTGAAGCCCAACTGGACTTCAGACAGGCACTACAACTGGTATTGTCATTAGAAAATGCAGCAAGTGGAGCATGGGAGCTACAGGCATCCCAATGGAAGTGGACTCGCTCACCTCTCTGGCTGAGCTTGGGGAACACCACTCGAGTGTAGACAATCGCAGAGCCTCACACAGGGCATATCCTGAACAGAGGGACCTTATGCCAGCCCACAGCAGAGCCCCACAAAAAAGCCGAGCCTTGGCCAAGTGGCTAAAGAGTTCTTCAGGATCTGGGCCGACAAGCCATTGTAATTACCACCAGTATGTGGACTCGAGAAAGCAAAGGAATCAAGGCCTGACTCGAGAAAGAAAACTTGTAGGCTGGTACCCAGAAGAGTACATACCCTGGAAAGTCCCCCTACATGTGAGTTGGAACAATTAAGTTGCTTAGCGACACCCAAATCGGGACCAATTAAAATTAATATTTGGTTAAATGGTCACCCAGTTCCTACAGAGGTCAATACAGGTGCAGCTGTATCTGTGGTTGCAGAATCTGTTTTTAACAAGATTCGCTCAGGACTCCAATTCTTAAGCTTGCACAAAGCCCCAGTCAGACTGAGAACATACACTGGGGAACTGTTGCAGATTAAGGACACAGCTTCAGTTCCGGTCTCCTGTGAGAAGCAGTTGGTGCAGTTACCACTGATGGTAGTAAAACGCTTGGGCCTAAGCCTGTTGGGACGGAATTGGTCGAGAAAGATTCACCTGGATTGGCTCAGCACTTTTTGATTAGAAAATGGCTGCCTCAGTGAAGTCCTAGCGAAATATCTGGGAGTATTTCTGGAAGGGCTTGGGTCCAAGGGGCCAAAGCCACTTTACGCGTTAAAAAGGAAGCAATTCCGAGATTTTGCAAGGCCATTTGTCTTGCGGTCAAAAGTACAGGTGGAAATCAGGAGGCTGGAGAGTGAAGGAATCATCAAACCAGTGCAGTTTGCTGAATGGGCAGCACTGGTTGTACTGACTGTGAAGCCTGACAGCTCAGTTTGCCTTTAAGCAAATGGTAAACTGCTTCTCACAGCTGGATAATTACCTGATCCCTCACATAGAGGGCTTGTACACAAAGTTGGCAGGAGGGCATATCCTTTACAAAGCTGGACAGGAGCCATGCTTACCTGCAATTGTGACAGAGTGAGGAGTCCCAGAGTTACCCTATAATTAAAACCCATAACGGTTTACATCAATATACAAGACTGCCATTTGGGGTATCATCAGTCTGCATCCTTTTCCAGTATACCGTGGAGAACATTTTACAAGGGCCATTTATCTGGTTGCCATTTATCTGGATGATGTACTAATAACAGGAAGACCAATAAAGACAGGCAGGTGTATGCCTTGGAAAGGAAAAACGTGTGTCCTTGGTACTTCAAGTGACCTACTTGGGCTACAGAGTCAACAAAATCGGGTTACACCCGTAAGAAAAGAAAGTGAGAGTGATCAAAGGAGCCCCAGCTCCCTCCTCTGTACCGCAGCTAAGGTCTTTCCTGAGGTTAATGAATTATTACGGAAAATTCATATGTAACCTCGCTTCCACCTTGGCACCCTTACACCTGCTATTGAAAAATGGTCAGCCTTGGAAATGGTTGCATAGTCAATTAGTAGCCTTTAGGGAAGTGAAAAAGCAGCTATCGTCATCAAAGGTGTTAGCCCACTGTGATCCGAAGCGAGAGGTAGTGCTGACATGTGATGCCTCCCGTACAGTATCAGGGTAGCGTTGGCTCACAGGTGGCCTAATGGAGAAGAATGCCTGATAGCACATGCTTCCCAGACTTTAGCTAATGCCAAACGCAAATATACCCAGATAGAGAAAGAAGGTCTGGCAGTCATCTTTCGTGAGGAAGTTCCACTATGACCTTTACGGATGGAAATTTTTCATAGTAACAGATCACAAGCCACTGCTAGGGCTACCGAAGGAAGACAAGGTGTAGTTACCCATAGCTTCTGGTAGAATTCAGCATTGGGCCCTTATTCTCAGTGCATACAAGGACAAGTTAGAACACCGTCCAGGAAGCCAAGTGGCTAATGCGGATGCCTTGAGCCGCCTTCCACTGGCAGATACACCATTGGTGGTCCCTCCCCTGGAAGAGTCTGTTTTGGCTTCCTGGAGACCGTTCCATTCACCGCAGACAATATCCGACTGTGGACACAAAGATCCTGTCCTAACGAAACTAAAACAGCTGGTGGTAACAGGGGAAACAGAAAGGCCATTGCAACCTGGATTGAAACCTCTCTTGACCCAGTGAGACCAGATCACTGTACTATGGGGAACAAGGGTGATTGTCCTGAGTAAAAGTTGCTGCCAGATACTGGCTGAGCTCCACCAGGGTCATCCAGGGGTTTCCAAGATGAAGATGCTGGCAAGAAGCTATGCCTGGTGGCTGGGGTTGGATGCTGACATAGCTGTGTTGGTGCGGTAGTGCTCAGAGTGGCAACAAGGACAAAAATTGCCACCAGCAGTGTCCCCACATTCGTGGGAATGGCTGGGAAAACGCTGGACTCAACCGCATGTTGACTATGCCAGTCCTTTCATGGGCTCAATGTTCCTGGTCATTGTGGACGCCCATTCAAAGTGGTTGGACGTGCATAAAGTTTGATTGGCAAACTTGGGGAGGATGGCTGAGAAGCCGCAAACTTCATTCATGATACATTGACTCCCGGAAGTATTGATCACAGACACTGGGATGTTATTTACTAACAGGGAATTTGAATATTTCCTCAAGTTAAATGGCACTCGGCACACAAGGACAGCTCCATACCATCCATCGTCCAATGGTCTAGTGGAAAGAGCAATCCAAATGTTGAAGGCAGGCTTAAAAGAAGCTGCCTACACCATCAATTGACACCACACCGTCCCAGTTCCTGTTCGATTATACAGCCACCCCACACGCAACAGGGATAGCTCCAGCAGAGTTGCTGATGGAAGAAGACCCCGCACCAGGTTAAACCTGATATGCCGAGACATGGGTGTGGGAGAGGTGAAATGGCAACAGGAATGCCAAAGTTGGCCACGTGCCACCTCTGAGTGAGGGACACAATTTAATTCAGGGGATGAAGTTTGGTGCCATTACCATGGAAATAGCCCTGTATGGTGAGGTTGACGCAAGGTCAGGTCCCGTCACTTACAAAGTTTTGGTAGGTGATACAGTCCTGAAGAAACATGTGGATCACCTGAAAGCTGTTACCTTGCAAATAGGGCAGGAGCAAAACACACCTGGCCCCTCAGAATAGCCAGAAGGCCTGTCAGAAACCACAGGCTCTCCCCCTCCGTCTACTGTCGAGCAAACCTCAGACGGAGAAGTATGCAGCCTCGATACCATTACTGCTGGGAGAAGACGTGGAAACCCTTCCAAGACGCTCTGGATGCAAGAAGCGGGCAACGTTCTGGTACACGCCGCCTGTGTCAGAGTCCAAATCAGAGGAACCAGTCTTGGGGCAAAATCATTGCAGGAAAAGCTACGAGCCAAAGACCGGGCCTACACCCTGGATTTGGGAGGGGAGGGATGTAATGCTTGGAACCAGGTTGATCTCGTTGACTAAGAGGTTGTTAATTGTGGTTGTTAACCTGGGCCAAACAGGAAAGCCCTGGCTGACCCATATGACCAAGAGATTTGAATCTCTTCAGTTCAGGCGACTGACTGAGCTGGCTGCCCACAGCTAGCATACTGTGCACAAGTGGCTTGGTGACAGGATAATGGCCTCTGTGCAGTTATTTCAGAATTAAACTCCACTGGTTGAGACTAGTCAAGAGAGTAAGAGCTAATGGGGTTCAGGGGATTTTTGCAAATTGAATTGAAAATTGGCTTAGTGGAAGGAGGCAGAAGTGATGGTCAGAAGTTGTTTTAGTGAATGGAAGCCCGTGACCACTGGCATACCACAGGGTTCAGTACTTGAACCCTTGCTATTTGCAGTACACATTAATGATCTAGACACGAATATAGGAGGTTTGATCAAGAAGTTTGCAGAAGGGCCGCTTTTAATGTGGTATAACTTTGACTCTATCCCATGTCATTGTTTTTTAGTTTAAGTCATATTTGTGAATCAAGAAAATAAAAGATTTGATTGAATGTGTTGCTGGCAAGGACAACACTGATTTCCCATTTGTAATTGCCCTTTTATAGGTGGTGGTGGTGAGCAGTTTTCTTGAACTGCTGCAGTCTGTGTGGTGTGGATACACAGAAAGTAGAGATCCATAATTTTGATTCAGCAAATAATGAGGAAACAGTTGTTTTATTCTAAATCAAAGTGTTACGCAAATTGGAGGGAAACATGAAAGTGATGGTGTTTCCACATGCATTCTACTAAGGTGGTACTTGATAAATTGTTTCCCATTCCAAGGATTGAGAATTGAATGATTTTCATCCATCCCTGCCACCTAAGGGTGAACAGCCTGAAGAGTTCTGTGTTCATGAAGGGAAAAGGGGGATGTTGGTGAGCCACGAGTGTGAGGAGAAAGGGGTTAGGGACAGGAATCCGTTTTAACAATCAATTAATCAGTTAGATCGCACTCACTCACCATTCAAACAAAGGCAAGGATTCAAAGGCGGCCTGAAGTAAAACAACCTACACTTTAGGAAGCACTGTTCTAGGCAGACATTACGGCTCAAGTGGAAAATAATTTTGGGTTAGGGCAGGGAGGGAGGGAGTTGAATTGTTTCTAAGTATCAAATTCAATTTCCCAAAAAAGTAAAACAGTTCAAAAAAGCCCTAAAAATTCCAAAAATTTTGACTTGCCAATAAGGCCCACCTAGCATGAAAATGATAAAAAAATTTTAAAGCAAAGACTGTAGTTATTAAAAAATTTGAAACTAAGCTTTCCATTGAAATGCTGTTTCAAGAATAGAATTCCCTTCAATCTGCATAGAGACAACTACCAAATTTTGCACACATATATACCCGAGATATGCCACATCTGCAGCATCATGGTTAAAGACATGTTTATGTCTATTGTATCATGTTCTATTGTAAACAATGTAAACACTGGCTCCTGATCAAGCACAGAGCTGATCTGGAGCAAGGTAAGATATGGTAGCATTAAGCAATTACTGGAAATCTGAAATAAAACAAAGTGCTGGAAATATTCAGCATGATAGGTAATATCTGTGAAGAGTAACACAGTCAACGTTACAAGTGGAAACAAAATTGAAAAAAAATTGAAATGTTGATTCTGTTTCTCTTCATAGATGTTGTCTGACTTGCTGAGAATTTCTAGCATTTTCTGGGAACATTAATTGTTGTGAATAACATATCCCTTACCTGAGGAAAGGTGGTTTCATGACGCCATTTGCCTCTGAACTCTGTAAAAGGAAATGGAAGTTTGATGCTGCGTGTCTATGACAAAAGGTAGCATTGAGTTTACAATCCATAACAACTGGCTGCTGCTGTCGTAGCTATAAAAGTTGTAAAGAAATTGCATTTACAACGTAGAATGTCACAAAATGCTTTACAGACAAGTGTAAGTGCTGTTAGAAAATTGGGAACTTTAAATGTTGACAACATGTGAACAATATCTAGAATTTCCCAGTTGTAGCTCCACTTTACTCCAAAACAGGAAAAATCTCATGAAATTTAAATTGAAATAGAAATACTTTGTATATCTAGTTTAATCATTTATGCACTAGGATTCCATCATGTAACCCCTACAGCTGATTTCTTTCCTTATTTGGATTCAAACAGAAGGCAATATTTTCAATTATTCAATAAATCAATATTCTGATCAACCCAAGTTATAACATACTACCATCAGTAAAGTGTTATCACTGACAGGGAGTGTCTATTTAACCAACCTTGAAAAGATAAATAATTGGAAGAGATAATTAGGGAAATATTTTTTATTTCATTAGTCAACTAGATTTGTTAATTTATATTAAAAAATAAAACCTAGAGTTATAATTAAAATATTTCTGATTATTTAGTTGCTAAAATATCATTGTGGCATTTGGATAAAAATTTGAGAAACTGACTGCTTAGGGATTAGAATTAACAGTAACTTCAACTGGAAAAGATAATGGTAGTTCAGTTTCCTCAGTCAGCAGATCCGGTGAAGGCACTGGTATATGCTGTACAAAAGCAAAACAGAATCAAAATGGATGTCAAATAAGATTATTAAAGCTCATTTCAAAAAGTACTTGTTTTGGTGAAAGTAGGTCAAATTCACTCCTGTACTGCATGATCTACTTAGAAAATGTAGACAAACTGCTGCTTCAGGTCAGTTGCTCCTCTCTTACAGTACAGATTTTAATCACAGGAGGGCAGCATTTAACTGGAAAGGCACCATGCAAATGATTTCTGGAACAAGCTGCAACAAATCAACTTCAGGATATTAAAATCTGCTTTACACACAAACTTTAAACAAACTTAATTTGATGTTCCAAACAGCCTCCTCTTCATCACAAACATTAAATCTCTCTACATCTCCATCCCCCATTAGGACAGTCAGAGCTCTGATTCTTTCTAGAATGTCGATCCAAACAACCTTCCTCGACCTGGCTGAACTTACTTTTCCTCATTGAATAGTTACTCCTTTAACACAATCTACTTCCTCTAAATAAAGTGCGGTTATTTGGATCCACACATGGCTATGTCTGTCTTTTTTTGTGAGGTGTGGAGCATTCCCCATTTCAGGAGATACGCAGGTCCTCTCCCACAACACTTTTCCTTGTACTTTGATAACTATAATTGATGCAGAATTCCTATTTTCACTGTGGATTGGAAAATTTAATTAATATCGCTTCTATCTTCCACCCTTCCTTTGTCTGCATGCGCAGCTCCAACTTTTTGCCTAATCTACTTCATTTCTGGAGATGGGTCATCAACAAGAATGTGTTGCTAAGAAAGCGATACATTTTGTTGAAGATTTTCTTCTTTCATCAAGACAATTTGCAAGAATACTCATGAAGTTAACAACAATGTATGTACTGTACAAGAGGAGGGTGCTGATTTGTTGGCAAGTGCACTTTGATTGGTACAGACACTGGCATGGTGAATGCATGTGTTAATGATAATTGATAGTTAATGCCGAGGCTTATTTTTAGAAGTTTCCCCACTACCAAAATTAAACAGACTTATCTATAATTGCTGTGAATATCCTTACAAACTTTCTTGATCTAGGTTGTAATGTTTGAAATTCTCCAGTCGTCTGGCAGCCCAAGTCCGGGGATGAAGAAAGGTTACAAACTAGCGCACCTGTAATTTCTACCTTTACTTCTTTCAAAATCCTTGGATGCATCTCATCTGGTCTGCTGCACTGTCAACTTTGAGAACCAACAGTCTATCCACGACCTCTTCCTTACTAACTTTGAACACATCCAGTGACAGGTTCCTTCTCTATCACACTGGTTCGGGCAGCACCTCTTTCGTAAAAGAGGAATGCAAAGCATAAATAACACCTCTGCCATGCCCCTGCCTCCATGTATAAATCCCCTTTTCGGTCTCCAATTGGCTGTACCCCTCCTTTAACCACTCTTTTACTACTAAAATACCAGAAAATTTTGGGATTCTCTCTATGCTAGCTGCTAGTCTTTTCTTATAATTCCTCTATTATTTCTCTTATTTGGTTCTTCACCTCCCCTCTGAACCTTCAGTACTCCTGTTGTCAAGTATAGATCCAACTGCTCAAGCCTACACCAAATGGATTGCAAAGCAGCAGTTTATCACCGCCTTCTCGAGGACAACTAGGAATGGGCAATAAGTGCTGGCTCAGCCACTGATGTCCCATCCCATCAGTGAATAAAAAAAAACTTAAAAATAAACAGAAATGTTGATTAAAATCATGTATAAATTATGAACTTAAAAAATCCTACAACACTTTATGTGCATTACTACTGGAGGAAAGTCTGCACTTGTGCAGTTTTTTTGTAAGGTTTAGTTGTATACTGCCCAATCTATAACCTCTGTCACCTAGAGATGAGGGAAGCATGTGCGTTTGAACACTAGCACCTTGAAATTCCCCTCCAAGTTACATGGCATTCAGATTTGGATATCCATCATGATTTCTTCATGGTTTCTGTCACCACATGAACTATAGTGGTTCAAGGTGAAGGCCTGCCACCATCATCTTACCTGGGGAACAACTGCTGGCCATGTCCAGTTCCTAATAATTATTTAAACAAATCTTTCAGGTGTGCAGCATCATGACTTTTGGCACACTTGCTGATTTCATATCAGTGTAACACATATTCCATGTTTTCAAAATGTAGTAAATACCTCATACTAATTCTATACATTCAGCAAATAAAGCTCAAACTGATGTTGGTGTTAAAACAGACGAAATAAACCGTAATGGGTCAACATTGAAACACGATCAGGCAGCATGTGAAAAATTCTCATTGCTACCTTTCAAGATAATTGCCTCAACTGTATGGTTTTAAAAAGTGAATGTTGGGAAACTGTGATACCAGAAACTCCCTCAAAAGAATTAACACCAAAGGTTAACTGACAAGAGAAATTGAGGGGACAAAGATTACTTATCTTTAGGGCTATCTGCATTCCTGAAACAAAAACATTCTCCACGCAGTACTGGAGTGAACTTGAAGGTGACATTCAATTCTTTTGGTGAAAGCACACAGTTGGTGGCAACTCTAAATAGCGTTTTAAAAGCCTTCAGATGGTTGGGAACAGATCACAATTTTTGGCAAGAAGGTCTCCAGCCCAGTCTGTAATCAACTGCATGGCAAATGGCAGAGAATCTCAAAAGAATTATATGGCTGATGGTATTCCAATTTCAACCTTGGTTGCCATTTCTATTGGTTATAAGCATTGCATGTTGAATTGTTGAATTATTTTGGTTCTTGAATCAAGACAGTGTTACACAGTGGAACGAAAAGAAAATTTAAAAACTGTCACTGCATTAGCACTTCCATTGGATGAAAATTCTCCAAGCAAAGTCTACAGGATTCCAAAATCTGGACTAAAGGACATCTGCTTTGCAAATACAGGAACCAACTTTTGGGCAATCTGCAAGGTACAAAGGATAGACCCTAGAAAATGGACATTGGTGGTGGTGCTGGGGGATAAAGAGGTTGGCTTGCATTTGTAAAGGAGGTCTGCACTCCTTCCCATGACATAAGCCATCTTTAAAAATAGTGTGAATCTCCCAGACTGAAGTTCAGATGTACGAGCCATCGAGGAGAGCAATATTTCTACATCGCCAAGGCAAACTTCCAGATGACAATAGTGAACTTCTGTTTTTAGGCTGGAAGGGGTGAAAAGTAACAACTAGGTCACCTTGCTGTCAGTTGTTAGAGTGTAGATTTGTGGATTAGAGTGGATATGGGGATTGTTAGAGTGTCAGATAGCCTGTCAACACATACAAATGAAGAGTGATTAACCAGAGAATATTCCAGAAGGCAGTGTGTGTGATTGAACTATATAGGAGTATGACTGACATTCAGGAAATGGAAGAAATAGTTTAAACAAACTACAGTGACAGGACATACAAATATGGCAGCTGAGTTATCAACAAAATAATTACATCTCAAATACAACAACATTGCTTAAATAAATTCTATGATATTTGAAGTCACATTTCTGGAAGGTATACTAGTTAGAAATTTCCAAACATGCCTACTAGATTGACTGTGCTGTTTTAAAATCAAGTGAAGATGTAGTAACTTTCTGCGAACATGATGATCAATGAGGTCAAGTTTTTAAAATGGTGGAAACTCAGAATTAAGGTTAGGAGGAGCTGTATTGCATGTGTTTTTACATTAAACATTAACTAGCAGTTTTTGAATGTTGAAAAAAATGGTTCTTATTTCAGACAGAGTCACCTGTTCATGTCACATGAATCTTCTGCTGAACTGCTAGCTAGCAGCTATGCCAAGTACTACTTTTCAATTGCAAAAAATCCTTAATGGATTGATAAAAATGATTACAAGCAAAGGACATCTTGATCCAATTATCAAGACACCAAGTTCCCAGTCTAAATCACATAACTTAGGGCACCAGCTGCAATCATTACACATTTATTGCTAAAATCTTTTAAAATGTTGAATTCTGGATTTGCATGCACACACATTTAAGAAATAATTGTATTACAGTTAATCTCAAAGCAATACTAGGGTGTCCCCTTTTGTCAAAGGCATCACAGAATAATGCTTGTAAACATTTTACAAAATAAAAGTTATCTAATTTTTGAAGTTTGCATGCTCCAGATGAGTAATGTCATCACTTGAGAATATTTCTATTTTGGGCACTCAACATCAGCATAAAGCATATCTAGGTCATACACAGGACACATCAAACCTACACTCTCATCTCATGAATACTAGTTCCAGGCTGAGAAGAGCACTTTCCA